GTGAAGTCTGATTTCTTTTGTTTATATTATTAAAGGAGCACTTATGCTGCCTCCATCTATCTTTAAAATTATTCTTCGTGGACCCAATGTATATCATATTAGTGCTAGGGCTCTCTGTGGATGAAATAGTACATTGGTACACCACAGAATTAATACAACATTTATTTTCTAATAGGCAGTCTTCTGGGTTTCTACAGTTGCATAATTTTTCCCTTTCATCGTCTGGTTTAAGTGCAGAGTTTTTATTAATACTGTTTTGGCATGGGCGTTTGTTTAAGATCTTATTATTGTGTTTTTTTATTATACGTTCAAGATTATCAGAGCATCTGTAACTCAATTTTAGGGTGTTCTTATTGAATATATTACTAAGCTTACTATTGGTGGGGAAGTGTTTATCAATTAGAGCTAAGAATTTCTGTCCTAGTTTAATATTAACCCTTTGGTTGAACGGAGGGGTGTACCATATGATATTTCTTTTCCTGTTTTTGTTTCTATGGCCAGTTTAATTTTCTCTATAGTTAATGTTAGCATTTTTATAACCACTATTTTTTAGGGCAGTGTTATAGAAGCCATTGTGTTGTTGGAATATTTCCTTGTTTGCGGAGTTAATGCTAATTCTATTTTCTATTGATGAGGGTATATGTTTAATTATTGATGGAGGATGGTTTGACTTCTATGTATGTATAAAGGGTTAGCATTTGGTTTTCTATAGGGTTGGTATGTGTTGCCTTTTAAGTCTAGGAGTTACGTCGAGGAAGTTACTTGTTTTCAAATTAGAAGAGACAGTTATCTTTTAAGTTTAGTTTCTTAAATTCACTAAATATAATTTTTCTGATTTTTTCAATCTTAAAACTAGTATAACTCCTCACCACCATGAGCCCGTCATCTCTATACAGCCCGATGTCCTTAATATCAATTTTCTCATATATATATATATATATATATATACCCAACATCACTAAAAAATTATATTTATTTATTTTAGGATATTATTAATTTATTTTAGGATATTACACCGAAAACATGTCAAAATCGATACACAATTGTAGTCGTGTTCCGTTGAGTATCAATGCGATTGTAAATTACTGGCGAGTGAATGATTTATTTAGATTTACCAGGATATATTTATATAGGCAACAATCCTTCTTTTATATATGTTTCATTAAAGACGACAGATATGGTACTGCGATTAATTTAATTTTTCTTGTGTTCGAATGTTTCCTTTTCGGGAAGAAACTGTCCAAATGTTCTGTAAATAATGCTCGTTCTTTGTAATTTCGATTTTGCGGGTGATTCGTTATTTTTTTAGGATAAGTTTAGCTATTTTTAATTTTTTGTAGTAGATAATTAATTTAATTTTCTTTTTTCGTGTCATTTGGTGTGGTGAATTTCTTAATGATATTTTTCGAAGTGAAGATTCATCCTGTTTGTAGTTGACGTATATTTGGCTTTTGTTGAAAATATTCAAGTTATTTTTAACTGTGTGTTCAATATCGTTATTATTTACTTTGAAAATATCATTTACAGAACATTTGGCCAGTTTCCACACAGTCTGTGTCCAGAAAAGAAATCATTTTTTCGAACACAAGAAAATTAAATAAAAAGCTTAATCGTAGTACCTTGTCTGTCGTCTTTAATATATATATATATATATATATATATATATATATATATATATATGTGTGTGTGGGGGTATATATATATATATATATATATATTACTAAGTATTCATGGCTCTCCACGATTTCTTAATATTAGTAGCTCTTAGTAATATGTCTTTTTAAGTTTTACATCCTGTTCTGTCATTCATTTACACAAAATCGTTCAGTAGGTTACTCGCTACTTTCCTTTATCCGCATGCTTTCAATATGTCCTGTGAGTGTCAAATTTTCCAAGCCTTTTTTCTCATTTTGTTTCATAGAATTTTCAGCTGTATCTTTATGCTTCCATGTATAAGTTTCCTTTTTGTTTTCGTTTTTAATTAAAACTTCCTGAAAATCACGGAGACACTCACGGGAAACGCTGCTATCTTATTTAGAAAACATGTATATTTACAAATAATAAAGAAAAGTTGATCTCATGATCGCTTACGTCTTAAAGGGACTTGGTATTTTAAAAAATGACCTACTTACATGGAAGATTTATGCAGTGAAAATCCTTTTAGCGTTGGCAAAAGGGATCTTTCACATATTTAAAAAGAAATAAGTGATAGCCGAATTATAATTACTTTGGGTTGATGGAATTCTTCAACACGCGAGGTTAGTCTATCTAAAAGAAGAAAAACTGATTTTAAACGTCTGCTGCCTTGCCACCATACCCTGTCATGGGAAAGGCTTTGGTAGTAAACGTTGAGGACAAATCTAGAACCGTTTTCTTGAATAATAAGAATTATATGCCGGGGTGTGGTATCAGGATTTTAGAAATGCTTAGGTAGACATGGCCAGAAAAAAAATGATAACCTCTGGCGTAGGGGAATCACAGTAACCTTTTGATGGTAATGGTAGTTGGTCGACGACTATGAAGACTTACGGAATGCAGTGTAGGCTGTACAGTGTAGTCACTGTTTGCTTGAAAGTCACATGGTATTGAAAAATATTTTAGATTGTTTCACGTACCATTCTGATGTTTGGAATTTCAGACTGATCTCGGGAAGTGGGTCAGGCCATAAACTTTTCAATACCCATCTCATTTTCAATTGTAAATTATTCTAATGCATAAATAAAAATAGTATATGATGTCTTTTTTACAAGATTAAAATGAAAAATAGTCGTAAATAAATACTCTATAAGTATTTATATATGAGTATATATATCCGGCAATGTTAAGAAAACGCAATTAATTTTGATAAAATAATTTATAAACTGAATTCATTATCAGAGGGTAGTACTGAAGTGCTATCGACCCGACCAAAAAGCACTTTGTAAAACGAATCATGTTTGGTTAGATTTTGGAAAGTCGGTCAGGTCAAGAATTTTTCAGTAGGGTACAATAAATAGATTCATGATGTTCCCAAGAATTTCAGTAGCAAAAGTGAACACCATAGACCATGCTGGAATTTGAACTTGACTCGCCGATTCCACTTTCTTTTTTTTACCATATCGACACTTCATTTCCTTATATTGTTATCAAACAAGAATAGAAAACTTCATTGATATAGAGTATTTATTTCACACACGATAGATGACAAAACAATATAAAAGTGTTACAGTGTAACCCGGATATAAGAGAGTTGTCGGGACCGGAGAAGTCTCTTATATCTGGGTTTCTCTTATATCCGGGTTTGGTCTATTTTGTTTACATTAACACAGGTTCTAATTTGGAACCAGAGAAAATCTCTCTTATATCCGGGTTTCTCTATTTTCTTTTCAGTTCCAGAACATGATGAAAAATACATAATGTCCGCTAATAATAATTTTAAAAAATCTTGAAGATGCAAAAAATTTAATAGAAAAACGGATTCCAGTATGTCTAGATATTTATTTATAAAAAAAATTGAAGGTTGTAATTGCTACTAATTATATAATTATTTATCTAGATAAAAATTAAAAAGTTGAATTGCACTAAGTAAAAACAACAATTATTTCCCCCGCAAACGCATGCGCATACACAAATACACACATATCAATCGATATATACATTTCTCTGGCTTTATCTGTTTTCTGTCTTTTTCACATTTTTGGTGTGCGTGTGGTAATAATGTGTGTTGGGGAGTGATTGTCACTACATTATTTTTAAATTTTCAAACACATTTATTTTTTATATAAATTTTAATTTTATACAATTACAACATCCATATATATATATATATAAATATATATATATATATATATATGTGTTTGTGTGTGTGTGTGTATGTATATATATATGCATTAACGCGTACACACTCAAACATACATACACACACACACACATACACACACATATATATTAACATTGCGCACACACTCAAACATACACACACACACATATATATATGTGTGTGTGTATATATATAAACTAACGTACACACTCAAACATACCTACACATACACATACACACACACACACATATATATGCATTAACACGTACACACTCAAACATACACACACACACACACACACATATATATATATATATGTGTATGTATATATATATGCATTAACGCGTACACACTCAAACATACATACATACACATACACACACATACATACACACACATATATATGCATTAACACGTACACACTCAAACATACACACACACACATATATATATATATATATATATATATATATATATATATATATATATATATATTCTTGGAGCAACATCCATTGACAAAGCCAAAGACAGAAAAAAGGATAAGAAAAAAATTGAAAAACGAAATAAAAAATAACAGAAAATAAACTGAAAATGAAATAAAAGACAACTGGCAAAAAAGACAACTGGCAAAAAAGACAACTGGCAAAAAAGACAAAAAAGCAAACAATTTTCCTCAACATTTCCTGCCTAAACAGGCCACCATTTCTAAAAAGGCGATGTCAAAGTAGTCTTTACCATCAAAACGACGGTTCTTCTGTTTCTTACTTTGCTTCGGTAAGCGCGTCCAGCCTTTATTTTCTATTTCATTAGACTCACTAACGCAAAATCACCATCCGTGGCACTTTACGGTGCTGTTAAAACATTATACAATTGGCGAAAACCTTTTACCGTTAAACGCTCTGTGCGAAGCGAACGATAATTAACGTTTTTTACCGCCAATTTACACCCGTTGGGGTCAATCTCTGTACTGACAAATTCAATGTTTCTGCCGACCGCCTGCTGTGGCTATAGTAAGTGCTATAGGCTATCTCTCTTTTAGGTTCATTTTATCTCCTTGGGAAGAGACGAGGGAGTGGGGACAAAAAAGTAAAAGGTGTTTGGGAATATGATGTGAAGTGGGTGATGGGAAGGCACTTGTGACAATTATGGGAATATCTGAGAAAAAAAGAGAAGAAGAAAATGAAGAAGTAAATGAAGAAATCAAAAGAAATAAAGATAAACATTAAGACGGGAAAAAAGGATGACAAGTGAAAAAATACATCGCATAAAAATATAGAAAGCTAATATAAAAATCAACAGAAGAAAAATGCAGGCAATGAATAAAAAGGGAAAAAAAATGAATGAATAAATAAATGAGTGAAAGCAAATGATAATAAAGACAGATACAAAAAAGATAAAAGCATATATGAAAATGCACAAAGGGGAGAAGTGAAGAAAAATTAACTTTATAAGATAGCAAGGTTTTTTTCGTTTTTGTTTTTTGTTTTTTTCGGCAAAGAATGGAAGAATGGAACATATGAGAATTGTATTAGGAAGATAAAAAAAAAAACCTGTGTGGAAAGAAGAAGAAGAAGAAGAAGAGAAAGAAGAAGAAGAAGAAGAAGAAGAAGAAGAAGAAGAAGAAGAAGAAGAAGAAGAAGAAAGTGAAAAGAACAATAAGAGGAGGGGGAGAAGAAGAAGAGGAGGAAGAAGAAGAAGAAGAAGGGGAGGAGGGAGGAGGGGGAGGAGGAGGAGAAGAAGAGGAAGAAGGGGAGGACAAGAAAAAGAAGGGGAGAAAGGGAGAAGTAGAAGAGGAGGAGGAGGTGGAAAGAAGAAGAAGGGGAGGAGGAAAAAGAAAAAGAAGAAGGGCGGAGAAGAAGAAGGAGGAGAATAATAAAGAAGAAGAAGAAGAAGAACAACAACAACAACAGCAACAACAGCAACAAGAACAAAAAGAACAAAAACAGACACCCCAATTCGAGAAGGAAGAATATAATAAAAAAAGAAAAAGAGAAAAGTCCGAAACTGATAGCAGTTAACGGAGTTAATAAAGCCATAATAAAAGAGAAATTATACAAAGAAAAGCCAGTGAAGAGTTCTCCGGAAAATAAACAGAACAAAGAAAGAAAGAAAGAAAGAAAGAAAGAAAGAAAGAAAGAAAGAAAGAAAGAAAGAAAGAAGAAAGAATAAGAAAGAAAGAAAGAAAGAAAGAAAGAAAGAAAGAAAGAAAGAAAGAAAGAAAGAAAGAAAGAAAAGCAAAAATAAGTGAAGAGAGACTGCATCAACAGGGAAGATTTACAACCCTACTCCATTTGCTATTATTAGGCCCGAGGTCAAGTGCCCGATTCTTAACAAATGTGTGATAGCCCTTCTATTTTAGACATGATAGTCTCGCTAATTTTCTCACAATTTCGAAGGATGCCCTTGTCTTCCTATATTTCAATTACATATAATTGTTTTGCTGAGATGTTGAGTCGAAAAATAATTAATACGATGTGTTTGTAATAAAAAAAACGACATTTTTATTCCATTTACAAAATGGAGAAATATGCAGTGTTTACGATACACAGGAAAATAAGTGTCAACAAACGGAATTCATCCAACAATAAAAAAAACCCCAAAAAAAACCAAAGAATAGAAAACATGACTACAAATACCTTGGAATGTTTAAATTGTTTCGATTACACATATACAATTTAAATTTTAAATTGTATCAATTACACAGATACAAATATTCGCGCAAGGCTTTACTAGCGCGGAAATTGGAATCGGCGTGCTGAGTTCAAATTCCGACTGAGTTCGTTATGTTTACTTATTGTAAATATTACGGTTGTGTTCGTTACATACAAATATACTTGGAAAAGACGTGAATTCATATTTTCTCCTTCTAGTTATGGGTTAAATAGCAGATAAATAGAATTCTAGCCTTGATTGACAAACAGTAGGATATAATTCAGAATTCAAAACCAGTTAGGCATGATGATTGCAAATTCACCCCGTAAAAAGTAATTGCTACAGAAATTACAGCAACAACTGCTAGCATGGTGAGGTTATATCTTTAGCGTGGCTCTGTACCCTACAAAAGCTTGGTGAGGATGTGTCCTAAGCGTGGTGAGGCTGTGGCTCTATACCACACAAAGGCTTGACGAGTCTGTAGCCCTATCGGACACAAATGCAAATTAATAAAAGGAAAAGAATACATTAAGGCGACTTATCATTACAAGCAAGGGTAATATTAATATTAAAATATTAATAATAACTTTCTTAAAATGGCTAAAATATATTGACAGAGAAAATATCTACATATTAACTCATAGACACCAGAGATGACGTCAACAGAATTTAAGTGATAAGAAAAGAGAGGGAAAAGATTATTATTTTATTTCCTTTGATTTCTGGTGTTTACACATTTCTTTCCGGGTCCCGCCCAGAGACCTAAGGTTAGAGATGGCATCATGACACTTTCCACTGACAAAAAAAAAAAAAATTACATAGATAAAAGTAAAACTCTTCGTAAAGTGTGGGCTGTACTTGTCAGAACAATTTTTGTATCTCTTGGAGGCATGGACTTCCAGGAATCCCTTCCATTAGTCTACTGGAATCTTTTCCAACCATTCCTAGTTATTATTATTATTATTATTATTATTATTATTATTATTATTATTATTCTATATGCCGCGTCCCTTCAAAACATAACTGATCATGAATCTCCACAACTTTCTATCTCCTGTAGTCTTTAACAGTTTTCTCCCTTTGCTAAGCGCTCCGACCCAATTTCCGCCATCTTTTAACACAAGCTTGTCAGGTAAGTGGCTCTCTGCCTCTCATTATCTCTCTTGCCTTCAATATGCGTCGTAAGGGTTAAGTTTTCCAAGTCCTCTTTTATGTGTCCAAGGAATTTCAGCTGTCTTTTCCTGATTTTGAGTATAAGTATTATTTTTGTAGCCATTTTCTTTATGACTTCCTTATTGCTCTATGGAATTTTCAGTGTTGTTCTGTAGAACTATATTTTTACTGCTTCTAATCGTTTCCTCATCTATGGAGAGAATGTCCAACATTCATTGACATATAAGAGGATGAATAACACATAGCAACCGAAAACTCTTTTCTTTATTTCTAATGAAATTCTTTCCGTTTCACAGTACATTTCTTAGTTTTGTACTGCTTCTTTAGTCTTCAGAACTGGATATTGCATTTTTCATCTTCTGTTAAAATGCTTCCCAAATATTTGAACTTCTGCACCTGTTTGATGTTTATATATATCTAATTCCTAACTAGCATCTTGGCCTTTGTCTCTTGTTTACCGTAGAGGTTCTGTCTTCTTGAAGTTGATGGTTCGACCTTTTTTCGCGGTTTCTTCTACCATCCTGTCTAGGAGGTCATGTAGTTTCCATTCTGAATCGGCCAACAACACAGTGTCCTCTGCGTATCTTATATTGCTAAGATTATGCTCAAAGATAATAGATCTTGGTAGCGCCCGTAAGTTCTGTTAGGATAACGTTGAAGTAGATGTTGAATAAATCTGGCTAAAAAAGGCATCCATGTCCCATGCTTCTTTTTTACTTCTTTCTTGTAGCTACTCAATTTATTTTCTATCCGTATGCAGACGTTTGCTCACAGTATGAGTTCTGGATTATTTTAATATATAGATAGTCATAAAGCCAACTAGAAATTAAACACTGGAAAAAACAAATAACTTTAGAGAGAAGAGATAATAGAATTGCTGATAAATTTGTATAATTATTACGCAAAAGACATACGAGAAGAAAAAGGCAAAACTATAAAGCGAATGACATTAAAATCAAATAAACTATATAAAACTAGGTACCTCCACAAAAAAAAAACAGCACAGAATAAAGATACCTATAAATAAAAATATCTTTCTTGAATTTTTTTTAGATTTCAAGCTAATAGAATAAATAGATCTTTTCTGTTAATTCACCCCAAAATATTATCAAGTCGATTGCATTAATTGATGGTTGTTTAATCTAAAATTTCTCCAGTTTAATTTAACGGTCAAAGAATATATCTACTAATAATGGTTGAGATAAAAAGTGAACAAGAAGGAAATTTCGCAAGATTTATAATCAATTATATAAGATTATGAATTTTTTACTACACAATCTAGACAACCAGCTAATTATATTACTAACAATTTAAAAAAAAAAAAAAAAGCTGAAGATGAATAAATATTTTAAAGGTTTTGGAAACAGCAAGTAAAATCAAATAAACTATATAAAACTAGGTACCTCCACAAAAAAAAAAAATAAAATAAAATAAAATAAAAATACAGAATAAAGATACCTATAAATAAAAATATCTTTCTTGAAGTTTTTTTAGATTTCAAGTTAATAGAATAAATAGATCTTTTCTGTTAATTCACCCCAAAATATTAATTCACCCTAAAATAATAATTAAAAAAAAAAATTATATTTACTAAAGTTCACACCAAATTCTCCCAGAGCGAGGTTCTTTCGTTGCACTCCGGTCGGGTTGACCTTTGCGATCGCCCCAAATGTGGGCGAATCCAGTGCGCTATTTCTAAGTGTGGGGTCTCCGTTCGCGCTCACCCCGATTAACAAGCCAAAAACAGATTTTTTTAAATTTTTTTTTTTAAATTGTAAAAAAATCCTTGTAAGTACCTTGAATATCATCCGCGTTTTTCAAAATGTGGATATATACCTGATCTTTGTTAATTTTTCATTCCGAGTGTTGGCAGGCAAGCTAAACAAATTTTGAATTAAAATTTATAAATTCATACACTTTCACGGTGGAGCAATGGATAGCGACTCGGTGAGCCGAGTTCGAATTCCAGTCAAATCCATTGCATTCACTTACGTGCTAATACCCATTTGGGAAACGTATGAATCCTTTTCTTCTCGAAGTAAATAGCAGAACAGACCGAGTCCTATAGCCTTGGATGGCAACTGGTCTACCGCAGAAAGAAATGGCAACCTACTGCGGGAAAAAATCTGCCTCGTCAGTCATGAAAGATACATGATCGCTTAAACGTGTATCACACATGGCACATAACTGACCGAATTTCATAAGAGTGCCAAAAATTTAATAAAATCAAACAAATTTTGATTTAAAATTTATAATTTCTTGGGGTGAATTAATATTTGCGATAAGTAAGTTTACATGAATTAAAAGAAAAGGTCCGATTAAATTTAATATTTACAATAAGCAAAATTCTTTGCCATATTTCAAATTTTGCTCATTTTAGTCGTCTTTCATTTCAATATTATTCTCTTTATTAAAAAATCTTCCAAAAATTAAAATATACTTTTCTGAAACTTTATTTGCTGAATATTAGTGGGTTTAAAGTAAAATTAATCTGATTTGAAGCAAATATTATTTACTTTTAAGTTTCAAATATCACAGAAATTCATTTTTTTTAACCCAGTACGAGCTGGGTTTTTAACCGACTGTAAATAAGGTAATGACAGGTGTAATGTTATTCTGCGAAGACTTAAATGAAGAAAATAACGTAAGCGTTTTTGTTTATTTAATTTATAATCTTAAACAGTAATCTTAAAAAAAATAGAAAAATATTCTCCGTAATCTAATATTTTATTGAATTTTAGAAATTTTGGATTTTAATTTATTATATTTATTTCCTTTATTTTCTGATAATGTCGTGTATGGTTAACCGTACTTACAAAAATCGGTACGTTTATGTTCTACTTCAGTAGAAAATAAATTAATTTAAAATTATTTTAAAAAATATTCCTGTTTGATGATTTGTATTAAGTTTTTCTATTTATGATTAGCAAATATAGTTTCACTTAATAATAATATAATCAAAACTACTGAAATTAATATAGAATTCTAAAAGATTTAACACTTAATAATATTTTAATTAAAATTTTAAAAAAACAATTCTCATAAAAATTCATTACACATTGAAAAAAAATTACTTAACACAACAGAGTCCTAAATATATCTGATTTATAAAAGCAATTAAAAGCTTTTCTAATTAAATAATGTCATAGTTTTATTCCATTTTTTTTTTATTTTACAATCAAGCCAAAATCAAATGGAATTCTTCAAAATATTTGAAGAACTCGGTCAACAAATTTTGAAGAAAGGTATGTTTGGGGACCAAAATGGGCTTCTTGCAGTTTAAGATCTGTACTTGCTGTGTGGCGTGCTTATCCAACATTATACTCATATTTCTCCACTAACACAAAACATTCAGAGGTTGACAGCCTGTCTATGCAACAAAAATTTCTTGATGGCTTTAGTAATTGATATTTTATATGGAATGTCATTG